AGGATTCTGGGGCTTCGTCTGACATACTTTGGACACGTTGCAAGGAGGGATGGGTCCTTGGAGAGGGACTTCATGCTTGGGAGGGTAGAGGGACAGCGCAGGAGGGGAAGACCCTCTCTGAGATGGATTGATTCGGTGACTGGGGTAATCGGGATGGGTGTGTCAGAGGCGGTGCGGTTGGCGCAGGATAGAGTAGGGTTTAAGGCTGTTGTGCATAGGGTCGCTATGAGTCAAAAACGACTCGACGGCACATAACAACAACAACAACATCCAAGAGAGTAAAATACCTAGAAATATATTTAACCAGGATTGTGAAAGACTTATACATTCAATTTACACCACATTTCTAATAGATTAAAGAAGACTTAACTAAATGGGAAAATGCTCCAGATTCCTGGATTAAAAGACTTGGTGGTGTTAAGATATTAATACTACTTAAAATAATGTATAGATTCAATGCAATCCTCATTAAAATTCCAATAGCCTTCTTTACAGAAATGGAAAAGCCAATTTTCAACTTCATATGGACTGAAACAAGGCTACACAAAGGTAAAGCAATGTGAAAGCGAAGAATAAATAGAAGGACTCTCATTTTAAAATAGTGTATCGTTGATCACTATACAATTAAAGTAAGTGTAGAGGCAAAGCTTCATCTTACTTACTTTGGGCATGTTATTAGAAGCTATTCCTTGGAAAGGGACATGGTGCTTGGAAAGGTGGAGAAGGAAGTGTAATCCTTCAAAGAGAAGGATTGATACAGTGTCTGCAGCAATGTTGGGAATGATAATGATGGCACAGGGTAAGACAGAGTTCAGATCTATTATTCATTAGGTCTCTCTGAGTCATACTAAACAATAGTACACAAAACAGCTTGTTACTGGTATAACAGTAGACAGGCCCATATAATAGAATTGAGAATCCAGAAGTAAACACATCTATGGTCAGCTGATATTTTACAAAATTTGTTTCAAGGAGGAAGAAAAATCTCTTTAGAAAACAGGGAAATTTTGATTTCTACATATAGACAAATGAAACCGAATACATGCCTCACACTGTATACAAAACCAAATTCTAAATAGATTAAAGCCCTGTATGAAAACTAAAATCGTAAAATTCTTAGAAGAAAATGAGAAGCAACACTGTCAAGGCTGTAATGGATTAACAATGGATTGTTGTTGTTGATTGCCATCAAATCAAGTACAACTCCTAGCAACTCTATGAACAAAAGACCTAATGCCTTTCCATAACTATTGTTGTTTCTCCAAGTTCATAGAGTTTCCATAAGCATGTAGTTTAGGAAGTGGATGCCACTCCTGCTTCCAAACCTGTTTTACAACTGGGAATTCCACCAAACACTCTCCACATTGGGAAGCCATTATGGTATTTAGTAACCCAATGGCACAAGGTTCAGCATCACAAGAAATCCAGATTACCTCAATATAGCAAATTGATGAAGAGTGATGTACAAAGAATAATGTTCCTTGAAATATAACACTAGTCTCACTTAACAGTGGTTAAGTGTCAACAAGTTGAATATGACTCATAGCGACCTTATAAGTAGACCTTCTTAAGTC